GGCTCCCTGCCAAGCAGAGAGCCCAATGTGGGGCTCAATCCCAGGATCCTGGGATCATGACCTGAGCTGAAGGCAGAGGCTTTAACCCACTGAGCCCCCCGAGGCGCCCCTAAAATAATTATTCTTAAATGTTAATACAGTAGGTCTCCTCTTATGTGTTTAAGATTTTATTTTTGAGTTATCTCCACACCCACCATGGGGCTCAAACTCACAACCCTGAGATCGAGTCACATGTTCCACCAACCACACTGCCCAGGTACCCCTTTAAGATCTCTGATGAGAAGATGACACACAGCCTGTGAAATACCTCAGCCCTGAGTGAACTTCACAGTCGGCACACTGCGGCTTCCCAGTGACCGTACACACCCCCAAATCCGGGAGTGGACAGCCCAGCTCGACTGGCACATGGCACGAGAAGGGCCGTGATACAGACAGAAGGGCCAGGCGATGACGGGCGGCTGCCCAGGTAAACTAGGCTTCTCTGAAGCGTGGGCTCACCACCACGTTCACGCCTGCTCACCACCAAGGGACAGGTCAAGGCACTCCTGTTCCTCCCGCAGATGTCCTCAAGCCCCGTCACCAGACGCTGGGGTTCCACGAGTCCCGGTCCAGAATACCCAACACTCCTGGTGGGGAGAGCCAGGAGCTGGCTCCCAGAAGCTTCTTCAGTAGCTCACCTTGGATGGGCTCAGGGGCCCCGCAAAGGCTCGCAAGGTCAGAACAGGGTCTCTGGGGCCGCCTCCCCCGTGGCCGATATGAGAGGTTTCGGTCGTCTGGTCTGAAGACCACAGCTCCCCAATCACAGGAGATGATGTGTCCTCGGCTCTCAGGAGCGGCACGTAGTAGTGGCCTGGGAGAAGGAGACCGCGCAGGTAAAGCATCTGCTTGGGTGGGGCCCCGCGTCAGCGACTGCATCACCGTCACCAAGGAACGCCAGGGGCTTTGCAAGCGATCAGTGAGGAAGAGTGTGCAGAAGCTCCGAGCCAGAGCTTCTGGGCGAGAGGCCAGTTTCTGCCAGACCCACTGAACTAGCCCCACGTTCTTCCTCCCCTGGAGGACTGAAAGGAAGGAAGGGGAGCAGGAGACACCCCTCTTTAGTCCCACATACTCTGTGTGTCAACAAGATTAGCAGGAGAGGGGGCCTAAGATCCGTGAAAGGAGAGACAGGCCATGGTGCAGAAGGCGGCACCCGGAAGGGCTGACAGGGTGCTGCTGACGAGCCGAGCCAGCGCCAGACCAAAGGGCTCCTTCCACCCTCTGCCCTGGCAATGTGCAGGCTGCGCTTGGGGGGCGGGGACCAGAGGGACCCACCATACGGGATCCCTGCAGAGATCACGGGGTGATGCCGTGAGCAACAGTCTGACGACAGACAACCTGCCACCCCCAGAGACGGTAAAGGCTTCCGAGGAGGGATTATGTGACAACAAGTGGCGTGCGAGCTGGGGGTCCAGGAGCAGGAGATCACCCTGAGAAGGGTTGCCACCCTGACAGCGGAGCTTGCTCCCGCCGTCTAAGGCCAGGCTCGCGCAGTCCAGGGCCTTCCCAATGGCGGTCCTCACGGTCCACACGCCAGGCCCCACCTTACCCTGTAAGTACTCTCTAATGCGCTCCTTCAGTTCCACAGACTTATTTCTGCTTCTTTCACAAATCACCTGTTTTAAAAAGACACAGTATGTAAATAGTCTATATCTTAATTTCTCACATTTTCTCACTAACATAATTTTATAAAAGCAACTTTTAAAACTAACAAAGCAAGGACTGTGTCCTAATGCTGAAAACCTCATGAAGCCCACAATCAGAAGACATGTGCTGAACAAAACAGTCTTTCTTCCAGAATGTTCTGTGAAAGCTGAAGGGGTCAGGACGAGAACAAACTCTGCGGGTGAACTTTATTTGTCTTTCTTCGTGCTCAACTACACACTCCAGTTTTCTGCCGGGAGAGGCACGATTGGTCAGGGCAGAGACAGGCCGACAGGCCACTAATGTTTAGCAGCAAGAGCTCCCCGGCCTGGGCCTGTCCATGGCTGTTGTCTGGCTCGATTATAGCAGAATTCCTATTTAGCATGCCACACAGTGTTTTCTTCTTGCTACTACAGGAGTCAACTTTCCCCCTTAGAGAACTGTAGCAAAAAGAACATTTTTGCTAGAATAAAAAACCAGTACCCTTCAAAAAAGGAAGGAGCCACAAAATTGCCATCTCCCGCCAGCCTGTGAGAGAAAACAACTCTACTGTGTCCTGTCAGCAGCGCCAACTTATTTTTTTAAATGTGTAACTGATTGTGACAAATGGCAAATGCTTTAAGAATACCCCTTAACGGGGTGCCTGGGTGGCTCAGTGGGTTAAGCCTCTGCCTTCAGCCCTGGTCATGATCCCGGGGTCCTGGGATCGAGCCCCACATCGGGCTCTCTGCTCAGTGGGGAGCCTGCTTCCTCCTCTCTCTCTGCCTGCCTCTCTGCCTACTTGTGATCTCTGTCAAATAAATAAAATCTTAAAAAAAAAAAAAAAAAAAACAAGAACAACCCATGAGCTGCTGAGAACGAATGACCACCAGTTTCAGGAAAATAAAATCAGGAAACATGGGCAGTTTACTCCCTCCTGATTCTACAGAACCGTCTTCTTCACGGTGCGTCTTACTCAGCAATCATGGCTCTAAGGTGCGCCCACGAGGCAAACACGTTCACACAGTCAGTACTGTGACTTTACAGTAGCTATGAATAAGACTACGAGTTCACATATTTTCATGCCTAATACTACAGGAACAGCATTTTAATAGATACTTACATCTTCAGGAGTTTTATCATACTTATTCCTTGGATTTTTTACAATCAAAGGGTGTGAAGAAAGCACGTTGACCACATCTGCATTCCCAAACTTACAAGCAAAGTGCAATGGCGTGTCATAACCCTGAGAAACATGCAGAGAAAGAGAGTATTTCTTATTTATGTTTGTTTCATAAGGTTGTTTACGATAAAAACAGGTATTTAGCAGAACAAAACCCCTCAAAATCCGAAGACCATAAAAAGACACTGTTACTCTCTCTGAGGAATGACCAGCGCGTCAGCACGTGCCCACTCTAAGCCAGGGCTTGAGGCCAGCCCGGCGCCCCAGTACTGTTGCCAGCTCTGGGGGGCCCAGGCCCAGGGGGAGTTTATAAATGAGCAAGGGCAAGATACCTGCTCAGTAAATGGCGGCTTTAACAATTCAGGGCCCAGTACAGTGCTATATAATCGATGCTCAAAAGATGAAATAAACAGGGGCACCTGGGTGGTTCAGTCGGTCAAGTGCCTGACTCGTAATTTCCGTTCAGATGATGATCTCAGGGTTGTCAGACTGAGCCCACGTCAGACTCGGCGCTCAGCACGGAGTCTACTGGAGTTTCTCTCTCCCTCTCTCTGCCCTTCCCCCACTTGTGCTGTTTCTAAATAAATAAAAATAATCTTAAAAAAAAAAAAGGTGAGATAAACAAATGGAGGCAACACCCAGAATAGAACAAAGTCTATGAACGCGGTCTGTACCAAAGAAAACTCTCTAGCGGCTAATATCTAGTAAATGAAACTCTCCACTCCTGACCCTGGGATGCTTGTCAGGCTCTCACTTGCCCTTAGTGGCACCCCTCCCCAGATACCTTCAACTAAGGCCTTAAGATCCGTGGGCCTTAGTGTAACAGCATCCTGTGACCAAGAGCTATAGAGCAAATCACTTCTGGGTCCCCTCACTCGAATGACCACAGGCTCAAATGGAGCACAGCCAAAACAGAACCCATTCACGTCTACCAGAGCTGGAAACACAGCCATGCAGTCCACCTGTGATGACCAAGCACGGCAGATCCCAGCTCTGAAGTCCCTGGGAGGTGTCTCTGCCCTCCACATGCTACATATGCCTGCCATCCCCTTAGTTTCTCTTCCAGGCTGCCAAGACTCCTCATGGACCTTGCTTCCTGCACTCAAACTGTCAGCTTGATCTGACCGATACTGAATGACCAAGTAACCTCAAGGCAGCACCCATCCCCTGCTCCACACCCTCTAGGACCATCTCACCATTTCTCACACTGCCCACGTGAACCTGGAAAAGTCTGGGTGCCTGCCTACAGCAGCCCTCTCTAACTGCATCCCACCCTTTTGTCCAGCTTGGCAAACCTTCTCAACTGAGGGCCAGAAACCGAACATTTAGAATGAGCAGTGCTGTGTTCCAATAAAGCTTTATTTACAAAAACAGTCTGTCCTTTGCTAGATCTGCCCTGGTGCCTTCTCCAAGTTACGACTTTGATTCACAGTCTACCTGAGACAACTCCAGATCCGTGGCCCAAACTCTAATAGCCTGACCTCCCCTGCCAGGCCTGCGGCAGTGGGAGACAACAGTCACTGCAGATCGGGGTCAATGTTCTCACTCATTCAGAGCATCCAACCTCAAAGGGACCTCAACACCACTGTTCCTTCCGGCCATGGCTCTTTTTCACGCCACAGAACGTCCATCTCTGACCTGCTTCCGAATGCGCACACCTGACCGCAACCTCTCTCCTCACCCCTGCCGGAAACTGCTGCTCCCGCACAGACAGCTGGGTCCGGGTTCTCTTGACGTTGCCAGCTGGCGCAGCCCTGCTTCTCACCACGCTGGTCTGCGGTGCCTGTGCCTTCGCACGTGTTTGTGGCCAACAAATGAACTTACTCCGACTCTTCGTGAGTTATGGTCAAAGACGGCCTGTAGCGCCCAGGAAGGGGTTAAGTGGCCCCCGTGCACGTGCATCTGCGCATTTTCTGTGACTACTGCACGGACGTCAGGGAAAACTGTGTTTCTCTCTCATATTTTCCAAGTCACACTTCCTGACTGAACTAATCCAGTCAGGAAGGCTTCCTTACTGGGTCTGTGCACCCTTTGTTTTAACGGACATCACTCTGGTTTTGCTCCTTTGTTTTCACACTTACTGTTGCTTTCATATAATCATTGTTTTCTTTTACTTCCTTCTATAATTCTGCTATCTTGGCCAAGTTTATCTTTATTCCCCCTTTTCTCTCTTGTTGATTTAAAAGTTATCTTGGGGGGGGGCGCCTGGGTGGCTCAGTGGGTTAAAGCCTCTGCCTTCGGCTCAGGTCATGATCCCAGGGTCCTGGGATCGAGCCCCACATCGGGCTCTCTGCTCAGCGGGGAGCCTGCTTCCTCCTCTCTCTCTCTCTGCCTGCCTCTCTGCCTACTTGCCATCTCTGTCTGTCAAATAAATAAATAAAATCCTTAAAAAAAAAAAAAAGCTATTCTTGCTGGGTGCCCAGGTGGCTCAGTCCTCAAGCGTCTGCCTTGGGCTCGGGTCATAATCCCAGGGTCCTGGGATCGAATCCCACACTGTGCTCCCTGCTCAGCGGGAAGCCTGCTTCTCCCTCTCCCACTCCCCCTGCTCGTGTTCCCTCTCTTGCTGTGTCTCTGTCAAATAAATAAATAAGTAAGTTAGTCTTGCTTTGCAATTCTGAAGTTCAACGTGTCACATTCAACACATTGTCATGAAACAGTGGTGCCCCACTCCAACATGCTTCTGTTACTCCCTCTCCTGCCAACCACAGTTTTTCAAACTCCTAGGCTTGCTCAGAGCTTATAATCCTTGGCTCTAAGCTATCACGGGGTTCTGTCTTATATAAACAGGTAAAATGCTTCTGTTTGAGGGAATTTTTACATAAGCGCGTGCACCATTGAAAAACAACCCTTTGACATTTTTAACTCTACAGGAAATATTCCTATTATTAAGTGAAAAAAGAAAAAAAGGTAATATGTAGATATCTAGAATAAAAAGTACCAAAACCCCTTTAATTCCCTCTTTCTTTAGGTTCTGACACTGGCTCATCCTCCCATCAAAGCCCAGCTCAGGCCGCTCTGGAAGAAGGCCGGGAGGGACCTGTCCTCGCACACAGCTGGGACGCTGGTCGCTCTGCCCGGTGGGGGGTGGGTGGGAGGGAAGGACTCTCGCGTGTAACTGGATGTCGCCCACCCCTTCGTAAGCTGGCCAAGCGCCATCGCCGCGCACCTCCCGCCCACACGCCGCGGGATGCAGCGGACGCTCACGGGGGACAGCCGCGACGGGCGAGGACATCAGCGGGGCCCGCTCACCGCTTTGTCCGGCGTGTTCAGGTACAGGTCCACGATGTAGCAGATGCGCTGCTGCAGCATGTGCGGCTCGTCGTCAGGGTACATGAGCCGCATAAACTCGGGGTTCTCCAGGGTCTCCAGAGTCAGCTGGCAGATAGAAGCCTGGTTCTCTTTGGCAGCGACATGCATGACGTTGTACCTACACCCTTCCTGAAAGAAAAGTGCGCATTCTGAGCGTCGTTTCTGTGGGCCGCGGCTGGTCGACGCAAGAGCCCTTGGAGCAGGCTTACCTGCACGATGGTCGGATTGTCCCCAGAGCCGATCAGGTACCGGGGGTTACTCCAAGTCAGATCCGAAAAGAGGTCTTCTTCTCCCTTCTCCACAGCTTTTCGAAGTTTGGCAGTGAGATCTTGAGTACGGGGGGTTTTGTAACTGTTTGCTCGTTCTCTGTTGATAGTTTCTGACTCTGAGGAGTACGTGGCATCTGTCATTAAGAGACAGAATTTAAGAACGTTGAATTTCATAAATATTTTCTCATCGCCCTCTGTGTGCTACACTGAGGACAACGAAAATCTCTCCCACGGAAGCTTAAAACCTAGTTGGTAGTAACAAGAACGAACCAGTTCGCATGAACAGCCGAGGGGCACACGTCCCAGCCAGCAACGTGGCACAAATGTCACTACAACACGAGCCCAAGCACAGAAGGACCCGACTGGACTCTAGCTGCAAAAGGTTTTGTGAGGATGGATAATGGCACAGCGGCTGCACCTACACAAGAACTTCCGAGCACACAGAACACTCCCACAGAGGCAGAGTGAGCCGAAGTGATTTTTGTTGTTGTTTGGTTACAACCACCTGGGAGTGTCTGCAACAGTCTCTGGAGGGGTGTCTGCACAGACCGCAAACTGCCCAAAATCACCCCGGTTCTCTCTAAGAGGCACCTGTGTCAGGCCAAGTTAGGATGAAGGGAAAGCAGCAGATGGGGCCTTCAACAGAAGGCCTAGGTCCACAAGGAGAAGGTGCCTTCCCCAGGAGTCCCAGGCGGCCTGGGAAACAGGACACCTGTGAGCCCCTGGAGGGGACAAGACGGACGCTAGGCGAAAGTCAGAGGCTGCCAGGATTCTGCACGGTGCTGACGGAAAAGGCCTCTCACAGACCCTGGTTTGCAGCCGGAGCGGGTGAGGTCAGCTCTCGGACCAGACAGGTCGTGCAGGTGAGCTCGACTTCTGCAGACTGTCTGGGTCAGAGCAGGCGGCCCAAGCCTGGAAGCAGGTGGAGCTTCAGCGGGGAAATGGCTGTCTCAGCACCTAACAAACCCCAAGTCCCACGGGCAGCAAGGAGAGACGGAACAAGAGGAGCCCAACAAAAGGACCAACCGTGATCCTCCTGCTGCTTCTCCCTTGGCCTTGCCAGCTTCAGGCCCTGGAGCAGACGCCTGCCCGCTCAGTGCCCCACTGCCTCTCTCCTCGGGGTCCTTCTCAGACCAGGCGACTCACCCATCCTCCACGGCCTGGGCCGTGGCTCTCTACTCCCGTGCAAATCAGACTTCTCTCAAAGGAGAAAACCAGTTACAGTCCACGGGGAAGACAACACAGAAGACCTGGGCCGCAAGGACAGTAACACCCAGAAATGAGCCGCCACATCACTTACCTTTCACTCCACCGCTGCCGAAGACCGATGTTATTTTCACAGGAGAAAGGGGTGAAGAGGCTTTGCTTGGAGAAGGAAAATAATCACAAATTCCTCTAGCAAATTTCTCAGCATCTTCTCTACTTGAAAAAGCTTTAAATCGAGATCCTTTGATCATTTTGACAGCTTGCAATGCTTCCTTTCTATCTTCATAAACATGAATCCTTTCTGCATGGGAAAAGTAACAGGAAAATTAGGAGTAACCAGAGGCACCGTCACTTAGTTCACACCTGAAGACCATGGGTTTCATGATAAACAACTGTTACCCAGTTGTCTGATTTTTCTCTCATATTAATATTTCAGATTTTTTTCTTAAAGATTTTTTTCGGGGCACCTGGGTGGCTCAATGGCCATTTTTTAATCTTTTATTTTCTCTTTTAAGATTTTATTTGACAAAGAGAGAACACAAGCAGAGGGAGAGGCAGGCAGAGGGAGAAGCAGGCTCCCCACTGACAGAGAACCCGATGCAGGGCTCAATCCCAGAACCTTGGGATCATGACCTAAGCCGAAGGCAGAGGCTTTAACCCAATGAGCCACCCAGGCACCCAAAGATTTTATTTTTAAGTAAGCTCTACACCCAACATGGGTCTCAAACTCACAAACCCGAGATCAAGAGCTGTACACTCCACTGACTTGAGATAACCAGGTGCCCCCAATATTTCAGATTTTTAATCTTGAAGAAAAAGGGCCTTAGCCAGTGAAAAAACATGATTAATAAGCTTGCTCATATGTGTGGACATGGATATAAAAATACGTTATTTTGTACACACGTTTAACTTTACATCTAAGAATACTATTTCATATTGAAAAATAAAATTCCTGGATTAATGCTCTAAATAAAAATAGTAATAAAAGCAAGTTAACAATGATGACTATGGGGAGCCTGGTGGCTCAGTGGGTTAAGCCTCTGCCTTTGGCTCAGGTCATGATCCCAGGGTCCTGGGATTGAGCCCCACATCGGGCTCTCTGCTCAGCAGGGAGCCTGCTTCTTTCTCCTCTCTCTCTACTTGTCAAATAAATAAATAAATAAATAAATAGAAATTGCATCATGACCATTTCCAATGTCACTAAACCTTTAAAAAATTCTTATGGTTGAACAATATTCCATTCTACTCATGGTACATAATATGGCTAACAAATCTATTTTGGGTATCACCACAAATGACATCACCATAATGACAGTCTATAATTTTTTAAAAAAATATTTTATTTATTTATTTATTTGACAGACAGAGATCACAAGTAGGCAGAGAGGCAGGCAGAGAGAGAGGAGGAAGCAGGCTCCCCGCTGAGCAGAGAGCCCAATGCGGGGCTCAATCCCAGGACCCCGAGATCATGACCTAAGCCGAAGGCAGAGGCTTTAACCCACTGAGACACCAGGCGCCCCCCAGTCTGTAATTTCTGACAGTCTCATCAATGTTAGGCTTTCATTAATGCTTTCCAGTGCTACATCTACTTTCTGATTTAAAATTTAAATTAAATTTAAATTTAATTTAAATTTTAAATTTAAATTAAATTTAAAAATTTAAATTGAATTTAATTAAATTTAAAATTTAAATTAAATTTTAAAATTTAATTAAATTAAATTTAAAATTAAAATTCCAATTCTTTGGGGTTCAGTCAGTTAAGTATGTGACTTTGACTCAGGTCATGATATCAGGGTCCTGAGATACGGCCCTGCATCTAGCTCCCTGCCCAGCAGAGAGCCTGCTTCTCCCCTTTTCTCCGTCCCAACCCTGGCTCACACTTGCTCGCACAGGCTCACTCATTCACACTCTCAAATAAAACTTTGTTTTACAAACTGCAATTCTCTGACGCTGAAAACTACTCATAGCTGCACAAGCCATTTATATTAACACAAAAGTGCTCAGAGTCTGTTGAATAAAAAAAAAAGGAGGGGGGACACCTGGGGGGCTCAGTCATTAAGCGTCTGCCTTCGGCTCAGGTCCTGATCCCAGGGCCCTGGGATCGAGCCCCGTGTCGGGCTTCCTGCTCAGCGGGGAGCCTGCTTCTCCCTCTCCCACTCCCCCTGCTTGTGTTCCCACTCTCATTCTCTCTCTCAGTCAAATGAATAAATAAAATCTTTTTTAAAAAGGAGGGAAATAATCAAATGATAGCTAGCCAAAACCATTTGTAAGGTGAAGCATGTCTTACAGAAACCAATTTTCTTCATTTTAAAAAATTCACATATACATTTACAAATAACTCAGCAGAGTTCTACCTAAAAATGTTAACAATGATTCACTTGGGGTGGATGAGATTATGGTGATTAAATTCTTTTCTTCTCTGAGGTTTGAGATTTTCATAATCACCCCCCCTGCTGCCCACAAACCACTGCAGAAGAGACACCAGGTGCTCGTTATGCTACCATTTCTCGCTGGGGTGTCCTCATACGCCGGGCACACCCCATAGTACAGAGGCGGCTCTGCAGACGCCCTTGCCACGGCTTTGTGGCTGCCGACCCCGGTGGTGGCATTGAAGGGCACGGAACAGGTCTCAGACGTCACGACATCTTCCTCCGGAGGATTCAAGCCCACGCTGTAACCAAAATCTCTGTCTTCAGACAAGCCGACCTGCTCAGCCTGACTCTCTACAGCAGACTTCGACATCTTCTGTGCATCTTGGCTCAGAGCAGTGGCACTTGAGGTGTCGCAGCCAGGAGGATGTGAAGGCAGCGTTCTTCCGCGCTCTAATAAGGCCTGAGCCAATTTTTTCTCAAAAATGAACCTTGTGGTAGAGGTAATGGGTCCACATTTCAATCCAGCTTTCACAATTTCTTCTCTAAGGTCATCGGGATTCAGGAGTTTCAGTCGCGCCAAGATGGCGTCCATTGTCATTTCGCCTGGACCCAAGACAACAAAAATCAAGGTGATGGCTTTAAGTACATCTTTTCTCATTAACAAAACAAAACAACACAGCAGCAGCAAAAAAGCTGGCTTCAGTTTCATTTCAATCCGGTGTTTCTCCAGATTTTTTTAGTCTATACGCCCTCTATGAGAACTTTCTGAAGTTTTTGGTTTAAAAATTGATAATAATCTAAACAAAATTAGAATAAGCAATTTCTGGTTCATCTGGATAAGGATGTTAGAACTGGTCCTATTCCATGATACAATCACACTAACATTCCAGGAAAGTAAGCATACTGGGGAAACAGGCATGCTCACTTGTTGCTAAAGGATAATGTGGAACAAAGTGAACGAAAAACCCCATTAAAACTCCAACTCCAGAAATACAGTCTACAGATATTTTATACTTTATTCCATAAATAAAGGGGATCTATCCAGAGATTTAGCCAAGGGAGCCACAAAGATAACTCTTAGAGTCATTCTGCTAATACTAATAACAAGTAGCTAATGTTTAATGTTTTGGGTCTTTTCCAAGAGCCTGGCTCTAGTATAGAGACACTACGATTTTTCCGTGTGGCAGGTTATAATTACTACGCACCCACATTTTACAGATGAAGAACCTCGATCACGGAGACACTAAGTAACTTATTCAAGTTACACAGCTACCCAGCAAGCGGGTTTGAGCTACAGCAAGAGCTTTGATCCATACCTTTGGAGAAAGAGTAGTTAAACCTAGGGATTACAGGTTTAAGCACGGTTTAAGCATGGTCAGCAACAATTGGGAAGAAGGTAAGAAATAAGGGGGCACAGACTAGTGCTATCGTAACAGGGCTGGAAACAGGGCTGGAGATCTTAAGGGTGGATGTATCAGATGCCACAGGGAGGGGTTTGAGGAACTGCAGTCAGCCTAGAATAACATCCAGATCTCCAGTCCAGACGCCTAGGAGTGACTCCTGAGACAGAGAATCCTAGACACAGACAGATGGGAGACTTGGGCATTATAGCGTCAGAAACACCTTACGGCCACCAACTGGGCATTTCAATTTTCAAGTCCAAGACTTACAAGTTCAGAGTGGGTAAGAGATCTGTGACTCATGAGCACGTGGATGGTGATTATAATACACCAGGAATAACAAGGAATAAATACAAAGGATTAAAAAGATAGGAAAGAAAAAGAGAAACTCCTAGAAGGGATGAAGAATTACACAATGTATCAATGAAACCAAGGAGTATACAGTTTTAAGAGGTACTGTCAGATGAAATGATGGAACATTCAAGATTAACTTTAAATTACTCTAGGGGTGGGATGCCTGGGTGGCTCAGCGGGTTAAGTGGCTGCCTTTGACTTAGGTCATGATCTCAAGGTTCTGGGATGGAGTCCCACATCAGCCTCCTTGCTCAGCAGGGAGCCTGCTTCTTCTGCCTGCTTCTCCCCCTGCCTGCCACTACCCCTGCTTGTGCTCACTTTCTCTCCGACTTAAAAATAAAAATAATAAAGTATTTTTTAAATAAATAAATTACTCTAGGGATGCCTGGGAGACTCAGTTGGTTAATGTTTTTTTTTTTAATATTTTTATTTATTTATTTGACAGACGGACATCACAAGTAGGCAGAGAAGCAGGAAGAGAGAGAGGAAGCAGGCTCCTGGCTGAGCAGAGAGCCCGATGCGGGGCTCCATCCCAGGACCCCGGGATCATGACCTGAGCTGATGGCAGAGGCTTTAACCCACTGAGCCACCCAGGCGCCCCAATGGTCAGACTTATTTATTTATTTATTTATTATTATTTTTTTTTAATGGTCTGGCTCTTGACCTTGGCTCAGGTTATGATCTTGGGGTTGTGAGATCGAGCCCCATGTGGGGGCTCTGTGGTCAGTGGGAGTCTGCCTGAGTTGCTCTCCCTCTAAAGTTAATAAATAAATCTTTTAAAAAATTAAAAAATAAATTACTCTAGCAGGAGAGCAAAAGGGAGGGCAGTGACAGATAAGATTCATAAGATATTAATATCTGTTGTAGCTAGATGATGACTACAAACCAGGAATTCATTATATTACCCTATTTCTATGGATTTTTTATTTATTTTTTATTTTTTTATTATTTACCTTAAGTAGGCTCCACACCCAGCATGGAATTCGATGCGGGGCCTGAACTCAAGACCCTGAGACCAAGAGCCAGAGCTCAACCAACTGGGCCTCCCAGGTGCCCCTGTACACTTTTTTTTTTTTATTTTAATGCCACCTTCCCCCACCCAACTCCAAGGTTTCAAAAATGGCCGTTCCTTATTTGCAAAGGGGATATTAGCTTTTTTTTTTTTTTTAAAGATTTTATTTATTTATTTGACAGAGAGAGCGAGCGAGCAAGCACAAGGAGGCAGAGAGGCAGGCAGAGGCAGAGGGAGAGGGAGAAGCAGGCTCCCCGCCGAGCAAGGAGCCCAATGCGGGACTCGATCCCAAGACGCTGGGATCATGACCTGAGCCGAAGGAAGAGGCTTGACCAACTGAGCCACCCAGGCATCCCGGGGATATTAGCTTTTTAAACAATGAACGTACTGCACAGCCCCAAAAAGCTGCCAAAGAACTTGGAAGGGGGTGGCCTTTGACCCAAGACTCTACCCAGGGAGCGCACCTAAGCAGATTCCCGCAGCACCTGGACACAGGAGAAATGGAGGTGGCTCAGGGACAGGAAACTGATGTAAAAGGCACAGGGTAGGGAGAAGCCATGCGCAAGGGGTCAGGACAACGGGTGTAGAAGCCCCGAATAAACAGGGGCTGCCTCCGTTCCTACGAGAGCAGTTTTCCTACCGTTTCCGTGTCTGTGTGCCACATCTACCTTCCTAACCCGGCTAGTCTGAAGGGGGTTCTGTCCTTGCAGCCAAGCAAGCACCAGGCAGAACGAGTACGGCACGTCACAGCACTAACCATGGGACCTTGGACAAGTTGTGCAAACTCCAAGCCCGTTTCCTCACCTATAAAACGGACACAATAACAGCTCTACTTCTTAGGCGGCAATGAAAATTAGGTAAAATAATACCCGTCAAACCTGTGCTGCTGTGTTTGACACTGACAAATTACACTTAACAGTCAGTTCTGGTTACTAAGTTATCAACTAACACAGGCTTATTAATCTAGCACAACACAGAATCTACTCAAAGTCAATCTGAATAAAAACAAAGACACGGTTTTAACACACTGTCATTAATATTAGGAATACAATATACAAAACTGAACAAAAGGAAGAATAAAGCAGAAACTAATGAGCTTGGGAAACTGTTGGGGGTGGAGGGTGGAAACTGACAAGAGGAACTGTCCTGAGGGCCAGCCCAAAGAGAGGGCAACACTGTGACTTCCTATGTTCTGACTTTTAGGAACATGTTTGCTTCACTTACTAAAAAATAATTTTAAAAAAGATGGGGGAAGGCCCCCCAGTGGAAGACAAACCAGAACAAAAGAGCTCCACTGCATTGCAAGTTAGAAACGAACAGGTGGGAGAGAACTGACCTAGTAAATGAAAAGCACTATGTGGCCACGCATGCTACAGGCCACAACTCTGCAGCTACTCTATGCCTACTCTAGGAACCAGCAGGCAACCGGACAGAGAACGGCTGAGGAAAGCCAGTTCCTCCCCAGCAGAAGGGAGCTACAAGCGAGGGGAGGCAGAGGCCAGAACAGGGGTCAGCAAACCTCCATAAAGGGCCGCAGACTGAGGCTGAAGCGCCCTCCAACACTCACGACAGCCCTGGATCCAGTAAGACTCTCCAAAAACAGGAGAGGCAGGGCTTGGCTGACAGGATGTGGTTTGCTGCCCCGCCGTCTAGAATCCAAAGTATCCGCCCAACCCTGACGGACTGAGCACAAAGATGACAATGTGGAAACCCAGTCGGGTGCACACGGTGAATATGGAACGCTTCCAGGCCGTCCCGCTTACAGTGCTGATGTAAGATACTAACGTCGGGGTCTAAGGGAACACTTCCCTGGATCTAACTTTTTATTTGGAAAAACTGATAAACTCAAGTTGAAAACCAGTATGGATGGTTCCTGGCGGCCCCACAGGTGACATCTTACACGCTGCAGTGCGTCAGGAAGCTGACAGGGGCCAAGCTTCGCCACGGCCTGCATCACTCTGCTGTCTTTGCACGGAATCCCATGACCGTCTAAATTCATAATCAGGGGCGCCTGGGTGGCTCAGTGGGTTAATCCTCTGCCTTCAGCTCAGGTCATGATCTCAGGGTCCTGGGATCGAGCCCCGCATTGGGCTCTCTGCTCAGCGGGGAGCCTGCTTCCTCCTCTCTTTCTGCCTGCCTCTCTGCCTACTTGTGATCTCTCCCTCTGTCAAATAAATAAATAAAATATTTTAAAAATATAAAATAATCTAGGGCGCCTGGGTGGCTCAGTGGGTCAAAGCCTCTGCCTTCGGCTCAGGTCATGATCCCAGGGTCCTGGGATCGAGCCCCGCATCGGGCTCTCTGCTCAGCGGGGAGCCTGCTTCCCTTCCTCCCTCTCTGCCTGCCTCCCTGCCTACTTGTGATCCCTGTCTGTCAAATAAATAAATAAAATCTTAAAAAAATAAAATAATCTAAATAAATAAATAAATAAATTCATAATCAACCACTTGACAGTTCCACCATATCGAAGATCTCCTGCCGCCCCTTACAGTCACACCAACCTCCGCCCCGTCCCCAAACCTTGACTAGCACTCATTTATTCTCTATCACTGTAATTTTTCAAGAATGTTATTATAGAGGTGCCTGGGTGGCTCAGTGGGTTAAAGCCTCTGCCTTTGGCTCAGGTCATGATCCCAGGGTCCTGGGATCAAGCCCCACATTGGGATCTCTGCTCAGCAGGGAGCCTGCTTCCTCTTCTCTCTCTGCCTGCCTCTCAGCCTACTTGTGATCTCTGTCAAATAAATAAATAAAATCTTTTTAAAAAATGTTATTATAAATGGAATCATACAATACACATCCTCTCACACTGTCTGTTTTCACTCAGCATAATGCCCTAGAAACCAGCACCTCCTTCCTCTTCACCGCTGAGTAGTGCTCCAAGGTATGAATGTGTCACAGTCCCTTTAGCCATCCAGCCCTCGGGAGACATTTGGGCTGCTTCCAGTGTTTGGAAACTATTAGTACTTACAAGTACTCACATATGGGTTTTTGCGTAGAAATAAGTCATTTCTCTAAGATAAATACCCAGGAAAGCAGTGCACAGTTACGTTTTTGAGCAACTGCCAGACTGATTTTGGACTGGCTGAAGCTTTATTATTTCTACCAGCAGTAAATGAGACACCCAGTTTTCTCAGCATTTCCACCAACATTTGTGGTATTTTAATTTTAGCCATTTTAATGGGTGTAATATCTCATTTTAGGTTTAATTTGTATTTCACTATTGGCTAGAAAAGTTGAGCTTCTTTTCACATGTGCATTTGTGTCATACTCGTTTTGCAATTTTTTATAAATCTGAAATGACTTCAAAACAGAAAATTAAAAATTAAAAAGGAAAGTTTTATTAAAAAAAAAAAAAAAAAAGATACTCCAGGGGCGCCTGGGTGGCTCAGTGGGTTAAAGTCTCTGCCTTCGGCTCAGGTCATGATCTCAGGGTCCCGGGATGCCATCTGGAATCTGGCTCCCTGCTCAGCATGGAGTCTGCTTCTCCTCTGCCTGCCGCCCCTCCTGCTGTGCTCTCTTTTTGACAAGTAAATAAATAAAATCTTCAAAATAAAAAAAATCCAGCTAAAACTGTCTTAAGGGGATGAGAGAAGGCCAAGCAAGCAGCAGCCAACGGGATGGGGGTCAGCTGGACCTGGGGTCCACAGGCCCGCCTTCCCAGCTGGTCTCTGCCTCCCACCTGCGTTCTCAGCCAGAGCTGAGCCTTCCTGGGACGGTCCCCTCAGCTGCAAACCAGGACAAGAGAAAGAAGTCACCCCTCTGGGCCCTGATAGCCCTGACATCCCACGGTGGGCTCTTCAGCTTCACTGTCTGCTCCTAGAACCTCACCCTCCTCTCAGAGTCCTAAGGAACCCAGACTTTGGCGCAGGAGAGCCAACTAAGCGTGAAAGGGTCCCGAAGGCCCGCAGGGCGCGCAGCATCCGGTGAACCCACCGCCGCGGCGCACACAGGACAGCGAGGCCACCGAGGAGCCGAGCACAGGCTGCAGGACCCCGCAGAAGGGCCCATCAGGACCCAAACAAACCCACACTGCGCAGACAAGCCGCCGCAGCTCCCAGCTTTCCCATCATCGGAACGTTGAAGACGCCCGACTTTCACTCTAGGTCTTGTCCCGGAACCCCAGATTCGGGCCGGCGAGGGAGGGGGCCGAGGCCCGGGGAGGGGAAGGAAAGAGAGGGGCCGGGCGACGGGAGGGGAGGGGGCCCCGGGAAGTGGGGGGGGGGCCGGGACGGCGACGGGAGGGGCGCGGGCCCACCGGCGCGCAGGCCTCACCTGGGTCTAAGGCCGAGTTCGTGGCCGCGCCGGGCGGCGGGGCTGGGGGTCCGCTCCGCCCCAGGCCCCGCGGCCGCTTCTCCAGCCGCCGCACCAGCCAGCGCACCGCGATGAGCAGCACCGAGGCGCCCAACAGCTCCCAGACCAACGGCGCCCACTCAGCCGCCGCCAGCCGCGGCCACAGCATCGCCACCGCCCGGCCGCCGCCGCCGCCGCTGTGGAGGAGGCCGCCCGCCCGAGGACCCCGCGACCCGAGCTGCCCGCGCCACTGCCTGACGGCGCCGCACGCCGGGGTGGCCGGTGCGGGGCCGAAACCAAATGCGCGGGCCGGGGCGCTCGTCCCCGTGCCCGGTGGCCCGGCAAGGGAGCGCGGCCGGGGACCCAGTCCCTGACGGCGCGGGGCAGTCGAGGGCGCCTTCAGGCAGTGGCGCGGGCAGCTCGAGTCGCGGGGTCTTGAGACGGGCGGCCCCCGCGGCCGCGGCGTGCTGCGAACTGGGGCTCCCGGAACCCGCCGGGGAGAGGGGAGGACGGGAGGGCGGTGTTCGAAGGTCGGGTGGGGGTCTTGAGGGCTGGGTTCGGAGGGTGGGGGCCGGGGAGAGGCCGGGTGGTAGGGGGTCAGGGAGTCCGGGGAGCGGGGTCCGGGGGACGCGGGCCGGGGAGAGGGCTGGTGGTAGGAGTCTGGGGGGGCGAGGTTCGGGGGCAGGGTTCGGAGGCGGGGGGCCGGGGTCCAGAGGGTGCGGTTGTGGGGGCGGGCGGTATAGGGTCCAGGAGGCTGGGGAGCGGGGCCTGGGGTCAGCCTGGGGCTCTGCCGGCTGCCGGACGGCTCCGCCCGGCCCTGCTCGCGGGGTCCTCCAGGCGAGAGTCGGGATTTTGTTGGTTCTCCTGGACACCCTTTGGGACCGCGCTCTTTTAGAACAAGGTTCCGCACGCCTAAGTAAGCAGGAGGCTGGGTAGCTGCGGCCTGTGCTCAGAGACGTTAACCGTGCAGCTGGCCTCCCCCAGCGGCAGTCCTCGGGGCGCGGAGGGCTTCCGGAAAGAGTGGGTGCGAGCAGCTGTGCCAGAGGGGTCTGGTCAGGCTCCAGGCTGCGAGATCCCACTCCTCCCACTCCTCCCACTCGGGCACAGTCATACAAAGTAGCCTGGGGGGCTGCAGGGGCTGAGGGAAGCACTCTCTATGCTTGTCAAAACTCTCGGGCATAAAAAGGGTGAACCTCACTCATACATTTCTTTTAATGGGAAAAAAAAAGAACAAAACCCTGAAGAAATGTGACATCCTTAGTAAAAACATTTAATGGGGTAGTACTGACAGCATGTTGGGCACAAAAGAAGAGTCCGTAAATTTGAAGGTGAGTGGAATGCAAATTAAAGCCACAATGAAACACTGCTTTTCACCCACCAGAATTGTTAATTTTGGTGAGAATGTGGAATAATTGCGGCATTCTCATAGAGCGCTGGCAGGAGTTAGGGGAGTTAAGCACTCTGGAGAACAGCGAGGCAGTTTCTCCCAGACTTGGACCTCCGCTGCTCTGTGGCTCAGCAGTGCAGTCCTAGATATGAAGGTGGACGTCCACACCATGTTTGTAGCAGTCCCAAACAGGAACTGCCCAGGTGCTTGGATAAACGCCAAACTGTGGAACTCTCACTTGAAATTCCTACACTAGGGCGCTTGGGTGGCTCGCTTGGGCAAATGCCTTTGGCTCAGGTCATGATCCCGGAGTCCAGGATGGAGTTCCGCATCAGGCTTCCAGCTCCATGCGGAGTCTGCTTCTCTCTGATCTTCTCCCCTCTTGTGCTCTCTCTCCCTCCAATAAATAAATAAAATCTTTTTTAAAAAATTGCTATGGTGCATACTATATTCAGCAGTAGCACGGATTAATCGGAGAACCATACTAAGCTCAAGGACCGCCCCCCCCAAACGTGTGCGCTGTACAATTCCACTTGTAAGAGGCTCAAGAACAGCCAAAGCTTGTGGTGACAGAAATCAGAGCAAGATCCAAAAAGAAAAAAAATCAGAGCAAGGGCCCCCTCTGAGTGGGGTGGTTAGCATGAGAGAACCGGTACCATGAAGGAAAGTCTCCATGTCTTGCTTCCGTACACACTGGTGGATGGTTATCAGAACTCACCAAACCACAGACACTGAAAATCTTTTAGTATAAATTTCGTGTATACTTTAAAAAGGAAAGGGTGCCTGGGTGGCTCAGTGGGTTAAAGCCTTTTCCTTTGGCTCAAGTCATGATCTCAGGGTCCTGGGATAGAGCCCTGCATCAGGCTCTCTGCTCAGCAGGGAGCCTGCTTCCCTTCCTCTCTACCTGCCTCTCTGCCTGCTTTTGATCTCTGTCAAATAAAATCTAAAAAAAAAAAAAAAAATGTTATTTGAGAGATCAGGCATGATGGGGCTAGGGCAGAGGAAGAGGGAGAGAGAATCCCAAGCCAACTCCACGCAGGGCTGGATCTCACAACCCTGAGATCATTATCTGAGGTGAAATCAAGAGCCCGACGCTCAACCAACAGTCACTCAGGGCCCCATGACCTTTTTACAGCTGTGCGCCATGGCATGGGCGAGAGCACCCGACTCCAGGCCAGACGGCCTGGGCTGCTACCCTGTCTGCCCCCGACCTGCTGGGTAGCTTGGGGTGAGTTACTTAAGTGCCCTGTGCTTCATTCTCCTCAGTGGTAAAATGGAGGGTGATCATCACCCGTCTCAGGGGCGCAGACAAACACACGCCAGTCCTTGCTACAGAACTGCCAAACGGGCTTGGTAACTGTTAGCTATTACTGCTTCCATCGTTCACAAAGCCTAAGTTATCCACCCGTGCCTCCCCGAGGTAGCAGGGTCCTCCCCTATCATAGGGGTTTTGCGATAGCAATCACAAATCCCAATAGTCTGGAGAGGAGAGGCTGTGGGCAGCAGCAGCAATCCTCCGCTTTTTAATGACAGAAACTCGCAGCTGTCACTACATACAGCTGTCGAGCTAAAACTCTCATCCTGCGTCCCAGGGACTACGGGGAGGCAACGGACAATGGTCTGCGGAACTGGCGAGCCGCGCCCTTGAACGAGGGCACAGACATGCCTTCCAAGGGCTCTCCTGTCCCCGTGGGAAAGGAAGACAGGAAGTTGGGGCCTGGTGCTGCTGTCCTGGGCCACAGGAGGAAGTCACAGATTATGTGAGCTAGGCGGCACCACGAAACTGCCACGATGGGTCCCGTTTCTTCTCTTGGGCTGCTGTGTGAAAGAGAAACTTCCCTTGTTTAAGCCACTGAACTTTGGAGTCTCTTAGAGCATCCTACCTGCCTAACCAGTATGTTGATACCAGGATCTTCTGGGACTCCAGCAAACAAGAGGAATCCTACGACGGCAGGATCCTCCTCAGTACCATCTAACTCGGACTACACTTAAAGTAAGAGTGGGGTGATCATGGGAAATAATTCTGATGTCAGGAAGCCAGTCCTGTTACTGACCACTATTTAGCGCTGAGCTACAAGTGAGAGAACTTGAGATGTAAATCCTTGCAGGTAGAAGTGGATTTCCAATGAATAAACCAGGAAGAACTGATTGTCTTTTCTGAGAGGAACAGGTTTGACCGAATTCCTAATGGTAGTCTAACTCCTATCCTAATCCCTACCTCCTTTTCAGATCCCAGATCACGAGAGGGTCAGGGATGGTATCCGTCAACGACTGAGTGAAAGTCTCGTTTTCACGTCGTGAGTATCCTTCAACAGGGGAAGGGAAAGCATGTGCAAGTCCAGCCACATATGATGTTACTTGTCGTGGGGGTCTAGCCAGGAAAGCAGCCCATGCCAGGTAGTCTGGGAGTGACAAGGGACAGTCACAGCAGGCAGCAGCTGGAACCCTTGGCAGAGGGCACAGCAGAGCCCAAAAGGTAGCCTTGCTGGCAAGGGAGCCTGGCAGTTTCACATGCAGATTAGCAAAAACGCTATTCTACACAAGACAGTGCAATCCTTCTGAATTTCCAGAGGTCTTTAATAAAGGGCATTTATCCCTAGTTCATAAATATGCTGTTTGATGTGTCCTGCCACCATTTCTACACCAAATTAGCAAGGAAGAAAATCCAACTGGTATTTCTTTACATATGTCTCCAAAGTTGCTGACTTTAAGGCTCATCTATTCGATGAAACTCACTTGCTGAGTGGGATCCACAGTACTGTCCTCCAGCTCCTGATGCCCTCTAATCTCGTAGGAGAAAAGGGACTATCCCAAAATTACTGTTTGCCTTAAGCGTAGTTCCCTATATGTGAACGTACACAGGGAAGGAGCGCTGTGGGTTGGGGATTAGGGAAGGTTTTATGAAGGAGATGAGCTAAGTCTGCTTTCTGCTCTTGGTCACATCCTTTGGGGACCATGAGCGAGGTGCTGGAGTCTCCTGGGAAAGCCCACACCCCTTCCGAGGTCCACGGATGTGGGAGCTGAAGCTGAATCCTCAAATGCCACCAACCAGGCTTCTTCCCCCTGGAGCATCGTATCTCTGGTATCAAGCCTAACTGCCACATCTTGTGAGTGAAGCCAAAGCAGGGGTGGCACTAGGAACAGGAAGGAGTCCAGATGCCCCAGCAGGGCACAGGGCACTCCTAAGCCTACTGGTCATGGTCTCCAGAGGCTTGAGAGAACCAGGTTTATGTCTTGCTCCCGTTTGCTGCCATGTGGCCATCCTCATGCTGTCGCCAGGGTGGGGCGTTGTGCAACCGAGGTCAGTGCTCTGGCCCAGAAGGGACACCCCTGCAGGCCATCTTGCTGGCCCTAATGCGCCAAGCTTCCTGCCCCACAGCAGGCACCTTCCGTACCCCCCAGAAGGCAGGGGAGGAGGAGCATTTGGTGGAGAGCACCAGTGCTTACCACAGAACTCCCAAATGTTGACTGGACTAAGTGGGACGGGTTGATTTGGGCCAGACTGCAGACCGTGCGACAGCCACACCGTGTGCTCGGAACTCAAGCCAACGTCCACCGCGGACGGGAGTGGAGGAGGCTAGTACAGGGCTGGTTCCGGAGCCAAGCCAGGCTCTCGGCAGACACGGAGAAAGGAGGGGGCACGAAACACACTCAGGAGCCATAAGCATGGCTGACCCGGTGAGGGACAAGGATGTTGAGGATGGCAAACCTGGAGGGTTCAGAGACCAGAGTGACTGTGTCACTACCACGGAGAAGCCGGTCAGGGGAAGGTGCGGTTTTCTGGATGAAGAGGAGGCAGTCAG